TATATGTGATTAGAAATCGAGGTTGCTTGAATATCATCTCAGACTAAATTGGAAAAGTGGAAAAGGGGAAAGGAGGAGAGTTGGAAGATGAGAAGAGAAGAAAAGAAGAATGGGAAAAGGAGGGGAAGAAAGAAGGGGAAAAAAGAGGAGGAGAGAGGGTAAGATAGGGAGGAAGAAGAGAGGAAAGGGGAAAGAGGAGAGGAAGTAGAAAAGTGAAGGAGAGGAGGAATGAAGAAAGTAGGAAGCAGAAAGAAGAGGAGAGAGAAGAAGAAGGAAAGGTTGTATTAAAATTAAAAAAAAGAGATGGTAGAAGAGCAGGCCCAAACAAATAATTAACAAATGGAAATTAAAGAATAAGAGGATTGAATAATGATTACTGATGAATAAAAAACTGTACATTTGAATATGTTGATAAAAAATAAAAATAAAAAACTTTTTAAAAAAACTTTCCAAGATTCGTCCTCCAGCTGGGATGAAGCTGTCAGCGCTTGAGAACAAATAGACAAGGAAGCAAGCTGCTGGAAAGAAGTTTATTTTAGGAAGACAGTGACATCAGCAGTGGGTTCTGAGCCAGCCAGCTGACCAGTGAAGCAATTATTGGAGTTGTTATACTCTTTCTAGCTTTTGAGATTCACTTGGCAGCCAGCTAACACATAGGATGGCCCTACATCCCATGATCATGTGGCCACAATTTGCAACCTTCGGTACAGGTTTCCCACAAGCAGTTTCAATGGAGAACCTGACAGGCAGGGTTGCAAACTGCTCAGGTAAATCTTACCCAGCCGCATGCATTCCCCCAGCCTCTCTGCAGTCACATTGCACCTTGCCAAACACTCACACACCCTTGTACCCTCTCCCCAGGCCTCACTATGCTCATGCTCTTTCTGGGGTCTGATGGTGTGCCTTTTGATGGGATAATTTCTTTGGGCGTGGTCATTCAGGGAGGAAGAGGTTAATCCTAGCCACTGGAAGGGGATGGAGATGTAAAGCCAGTGAGTTTGGATGTGGCTATTTTCGTAATCCTGTCAATACTGATTACCTTAGCTTTCTTGTGTTAATCCTGTCAATACTGATTGCTTTAGCTGAAAGCAAAGGTGCTGTCTCTAGCTGCATTCCTGTGGTTTTCTTTATTGCAACAATGTATCCTCTTGCTAAGTGGTTCTTGGCAGTCTGCCTGGAACTTTCCCTAGACTGAGAGGTGGGAAAAAGTTTTTCTTGGTGAGCTTTTGTTCTGCAGCTTGTATTTTTACTCACTGCTTAGTTTAAAGGACAAATGGCTGTATTTTCTATCAGAATCTTTTGGTTAATTCTAACAACCCAGAGCAAATGTTGATAGTATTATCATTTTGTCAAGACAAGGTTGCCCTCTACATTTCTTTAAATTTCTCTGAGTTGCAATCCAGTTTGAGAAACTATGAAGCCCTAGTGTAAAACCCGGTATACATTAACCTTAGTCCTTTAGAACAGTGCATGCCATCTTGGAAGGCACAACTTTTCATCACTCTTGTGTCTCTACATTCAATTCCCAAGGATGTTTAATCCAACTTCCGCACTGCCAGCCTGGATTTGGGGAAAATAGCATGCAGTTTGTAAGTGTACATGGTTAGTACCAAGTTTGAGAAGGACCAGAGCAGTTCAGTGTCAGAGAGTATTTATTTGTTTTGTTTTTTTAATAAATAAGAGGCCAAGATTCAATTCCTACCCATGATTGAGTATAAATTTTTGATTTGTTTAATATTTGCTCACACAAACACAATAGTAGCTGTATTTGGAAGTAGGAATAGAGGATGGGCAAACAATGAATTGCTAAGTTGTATTGGCCATACATTTTTCAGAAACATATCTATCTTGTTTTGGGAAAGGTTCCATTTATTTATTACCTGCTTGATATCACAGCCCTAAGTTTATCTGAAAGTCCAAGGCAGATTTGCCTATGTAAAAACTATAATGGTGTAACAGACTGAATGAAGATTTTGTAGTTCCTGGATATCAGAAGCATCAGTAAAAACTGGAACCACCTAATAACATTGCCTAAAATTGAAGGATCATATTAATATTGATTGGTTGCACAATCAGCCAGATGTTTAGATTGAGTTTGGCATTTATATCCACCTATTAAATCCTTCTGAAAGATCTGGTAGATGTTGATGTTTAATGATGTTAAAAGTATCATTGCAGGATGTAAAGCTGCCTTTTGCAATTGACTAATTGTGATTTTTTCAATGCCCATGGTTTTCAAGTGATGCTCCAACTATTTTGAGATTGCAACCAAGTTGCCTATTACTATTGGTACTACCTTTGCTTTCTTTTGCCACAGTTGTTCTATTTCTATTTGCAGGTCTTTGTATTTTGTTGTCTTCTACAGTTCTTTCTCTTGTATTCTGCTGTCTTCAGGTATTGCCACATCCACTATCCAGGTGTTGTTGTTTTTGGTCTTTCTTAACAACAATTATTAAGTCTCGGATGTTATGTGGCAGGTACTGTTTGAATTCTAAAGTCTCAGGGCACTTTAGCTTCTTCATTCTCTATTATTTTCTCCATTTTATGATCCCACCAGTTCTTGCTTGCAGGCCAACAGTATTCTTGCAGCTCTGCAAAGTAGCATTGTTGCTACTTTGTCATGCCGTTGTTGCTGCTACTTTGTCATGCTGTTATCTGTAATCAATCTGTGTGATATTCTTGCAGCAGCTAACTAGGTGGTTCACTGTTTCTTCAGCTTCTTTGCAGAAATGTTATTGGCTGTCCGTTGCTGTCTTCTTAATTCTGGCTTAAGTCATTGTCATTATTTTTCTGGTCTTCCTAGCCAAGGCTAGGAAGTTCTGCTTGAGTTGAATCCACTATTCAATCTAATGATTGGGATTGCCCAGGTGAATCTAATGATTGGGATTGCCCAGGTGTTAATTTCCTTGATGTTATTTTCTCCACTGAATTTGGACTTTAAAATCTTTTTCACGTTCATGATGTATTCATTTCTGATCTTCTTCTTAACTTTGGTGTGCTTGAAAGATGCTCAGCTTGAAGGATGCCCAGGTATTTGTACTGATCGTCTTCCTCCAGACTCTTGATGCAGTTTCCATAGGGCATCTTAATTCCCTATGGAATTAAAATGGTTTTCATCATTTTCCCCCTGTTGGTGGTGAGAGTGGAACATTGGTTGAGCCCAAATTCTATTGCAATGTCTTGACCTTATATATGGACATAATTGAACAATGATTCTATTTCAGATAGTGCTTTTCCATACAGATTTATATATCCATGTAAAGGAGATGTGATAGTCTGGCAGATATTTTGGATGTTTGATAACTATGGCCTGATCTTTTCACTATAGTTGACAGGAGAATCAGTGCAGTAACAAACATGTTAGTGCATCTCCTTGAAAGATTCCTTTCTTGATACTATTATCATGGTTGGTTGCACAATCAACTAGATGATCAGACTGGATTTGACACTTTTATTCACCTATTGTGTCCCTCCCAAGGAGCTGGGATAGGCAGATGTTGTTCAATGGTGTTAACAATTTCATTGCACAATGTAAACTGTTCCAAGGAAAATTGCCCCTTGCAATTGTTATTATTATGGTTCATCACACAGTCAGCTTATTATTATATTTAAAAAAAACCTATACTTCATGCAGCTGATTAAGTCAGCTCTAAGACATGAAAGGTAAACGACATTACATATTAAGGTGTAACCTTTGCTAGATAATTTATTAAAGCTATACCTCTGGAAATTTGAATGTGACACAGGTTGTTGTCTGTCTACACCTCAGCTTCAAAGATACATTGAAAATGTCTGAATTTTTAGAGATGATATATAAGAATACAGTCTGTCAGGTTTCGGTTCTGTCTTAAAATAAGTTTCATTTTCAAGCGCAGTCTCTAATGAATCATTCTTTATTAAGAACAGAAATAGCCGACATTTCTGAGGCTAATTGCAGCTCAACTGGCCCCTCCTTCCAACCCCCTCCTCTTCCGCTCTCCAACCCGATTTCTCATTGGCCATTAGCCAATCCATCTCTCCGTCCTGGCACGTACTTCTCACAGGAATGTGACCCCCACCCTCATCCCCCAGAAAACCCTATCTCTTGCATGCAGAAAACTAGGTAAAAGTTCATCTCAGCAATAATTCAGCACTTCTGGTCTTCATGACAGCACTGGAAGAGAGCATAAGTTGGAGTGCTGACACAGTCTGCATCCCTTTTCCAAGATGGTCTAACATGATAGTCAATTGTTCATTCCTGTTCTTCTCTTCTGTTTACATCATATTTGTTACAAATATATTTTAAAAATCCAAAACAAAACATTAGACAGACAAGAGAGGTAAAAACCTCTAGAAAGTAATAAGAAAAAAGAAACAAACAAATGCAGTGGCAACCTCTGCAAATGGAGACTTTTTAATTTAGATTCCTGGCTGCTTAATTTCCTTCCTACATGGTCATTATAAACATATGACATGAAAAGGTGCAAGTAAAAATAAAACACACAAGTGATATTCCTCTGGATTCTTGTACTTACAGTACTTCACATTCTTATAGACACATTCATATCACAACCATACCAAAAATGATAGCTCTTACATTTTGGGAGGAATCCTTTTTCTCTAAATTGAAAGCTATTAATATATTATTTTGATATGACAAAAGACACCAAGATTGTATAACATTTTGTTCTTTTGAAAAGATGCACACACTTTTCTGTACTTTAAATAAATGCCCTTTTCAAAGGAGTTTCAGAAATTCAGTGCTACATTTTACTTTACACACAAGGTGGTGCTATTGCACCAAACAATAAAAGGAGAGATTCATTTATTTCAGAATGATCCAGTCATTAGACAAAGGAATCTCAGAACAAAAGGCAACAGCTTTCAATTAAATCTTGAGAAATTTCCGAAGAAAATATCCAGTATGAATACCAAAAAATAACTCCCATTGGATTCTGATCACAACTATGAAGGAAATTATAGGAATTGCTTTACAAAGAATCTTATTGAATGCATGACCTTCCCTGAAAGAGGCTGGGAAAATGGAAGTCTCTTGTCCTAGCAGGCAAGTGGTCTTATTCTTTATTTCTCTATGTAGCTCTGGTATGTTGTGTGAACCATTCCGCTATTCAGTGCCTGAGGAGAAGAAAGCTGGATCAATAGTAGCAAATGTGCTAAAAGATTTGAAAGTAGATGTGAAGGAGCTTTCTGCTCGCAGAGCACAGTTGATTTCTAAGAGTTCCAGGCAGGATTTCCAGCTGGATCCCCATTCTGGAAATATAATATTGAGGGATAAAATTGACCGAGAAGCTTTGTGTGGTCTGAGTGATCCTTGCACTCTATTCTCTGAAATTTTGCTGGAAAATCCTCTTCAATTCTTCAAAATTGAAGTTCAGGTAGAAGATGTCAATGATAATTCCCCTATATTCTCTCAGAATCAATTCCTTTATGAAATACCTGAGCAGACTCCCATAAATGCACGTTTCCCCTTGGAGACAGCCCACGATTTAGACAAAGGAAAAAATGCTATCCAGAACTATATACTTAGCACAAGTGAATATTTTAAGCTGGACATACAAAGTCAAAATGATGGCAGCAAATATTCAGAACTCCTTTTGGCAAAACCGTTAGACCGCGAGGTGATCCCTCAGTTTATTCTCACTCTGGAAGCTGTGGATGGAGGGATCCCAAGGAGAACTGGCACAGCACAAATAATTATTGCTATTCTGGATAACAATGATAACGTGCCCCAATTTGAACAAACAGTATATAAAGTGCAGCTAATGGAAAATAGTCATCCAGGTTCATTGGTTGCTAAAATTAAAGCCACTGACAAAGACATTGGATCCAACGCTCACATCATTTACACTTTTAGCCAAGCACCAGCAGATGTACTCCGATCATTCAGGTTAAACAATCATACTGGGGAAATTACACTCGTAGGGAAAATTGATTATGAAATAAACAGTAAATATCAACTCAGTATCAAAGCCACAGATGGAGGGGGATTGTCTGCTTACTGTAAAGTTCTTGTTGACATTGAAGATGAGAATGACAATGCTCCAGAAATAATTGTATCATCCATCACTAATCCTTTACCAGAAAATTCTCCCCTGGAAACACTGGTGGCACTTTTTGGCATCAGAGATCAAGACTCCGGAGACAATGGCAGAACTACCTGCAGCACTGAGAAAAACCTGCCTTTTATTCTAAAACTGACTGAGAACAATTATTATCAGCTTGTGACGCAACAGCCATTGGACAGAGAAGAAATGTCACATTATAACATCACCATCACAGCCACCGACCAAGGTTCTCCCAGACTCACTTCAATCACAGTTATTAGCATTCAACTTTCAGACATCAATGATAACTCTCCAATGTTTGAAAAAGGTTTCTACAATTTGCACTTAAGAGAAAACAACATTCCAGGACTGCTCATCGGATCAGTCCATGCTGCAGATGTGGACACAGAACAGAATGCCAAAGTAACCTACTCTCTTTTGTTTGGAAAGATCAGGGAAGAGCCTGCATCATCTTACATCTCCATCAACTCTGAAACTGGGAACTTGTATGCCATTCGATCTATAGATTATGAGGATATACAAGATTTCCAGGTGATGGTGGGGGCCGTAGACAAGGGCTCACCTCCCCTGAGCTCAGAAACAATGGTCCGAGTTCTTATCACGGATGACAATGACAATGCCCCCTTCATCCTCTGCCCTCTTCAGAACAGCACTTCTCCATCAAATGATCTGGTTCCCAGGGGAGCAGAGACAGGCTACCTAGTCACCAAAGTGGTGGCAGTGGACAGAGATTCAGGGCAGAATTCTTGGCTTTTCTATCAGTTGCTGAAGGCCACAGATCCGAGTCTCTTCACTGTTGGGACTCAGAATGGGGAAGTGAAAACCATGAGGCCGGTGAATATCCGAGACAGTTTCAAACACACTCTTATTGTGGCAGTTAGGGATAATGGGCATCCTCCTCAGTCTGCCTCTGTGACCCTAAGAATTCTTCTAGTGGACGGCTTCTCTGATCCTTACATAAAAATTATGGATAATCCTAAGGATGAAGTCCTGCAGGAAGGATATCATACACTAACACTGTATTTGATTATCTGTTTGGTTGCCATCTCATCCATTTTTCTGCTTTCTGTTATGGTGTTTATTGCAACCAAGTTTCAGAAGCGAAAGAAGTTCTTAGGAAGTTCTCATTCTGCATCGAATTTTCCGATGGGACCAAATTTGCAAGAGAAGTGTGTGGATCCTAATACTGGGACATCTTCCCAGGCCTACAGCTATGAAGTGTGCTTAACTGATGGGTCTCTGAGCAGTGAGTTTAAATTCCTCAGGCCTTTCTTTCCTGTTTTTACTATGGAGCATCAAAAAACTCTGCTGAATCCACAGATTCATAATGATTGCCATAATCTTCCTAATCAATTGGAGGAAAGAGAGCATACAACCCAGGTAAGAATAATTATTAATGTAATTACATTATATGGTTTGAGTAACCCAGAAATGATGAATTTCTAAAAATAAAATATTGTGTATTAATGGACGTTGCTGTGAATTTCCAGAAAACTAGTTTGTTTAGGGTAATGTATTGAGAAATTTGTATTGGTTTTCCATGTATTTTAGTTTCTATGTGGGTATTTATCCTGTGTTTTAATTGTACCAAATGTAATTTGGTAGTTGAGAAGCTGTAAAATACACACTGCCTTAAAGGAAAATCATACAATTCTCCAAGAAGGAAACAATGTAGTATATTTTTCAAATTTGGAAGCTGCAGCTGGTGCAGCGAGCAGTGGCATGGGCAATTCTTGGAGTCTGAGGGATGGCCCATGTAATACCACTGCTCCGCAATCTGCATTGGCTGCCTGTCTGCTTCCAGGTCCAATTCAAGGTATTGGTATTCACCTTTAAAGCCCTTCATGGCATGGGTCCAAGCTATTTGAGAGACCGTCTCATCCCACTGGGATTGGTTCATCCCACCCGTGCCAGTAGAGGAGGCCCTATCATGCTGTAGGCCCTGTCGGCCCGATTGTTCTAGCTAGTGGGGTCCAGGAGAAGGGCCTTTTCTGCTCTTGCATCTGTCCTCTGGAACATCTTGCCCCCTGGTGTGAAGCCACCCTAACCCTCCTATCCTTTTGTTGCGGGCCTGAAGAACTGACTCTGCCAGTTAGCTTGGGGCCCCAATGGGGGAGCATCACAATGGAGGTGGTTGATCAATTAACAATAGATTCCATCTCCCCCACATCCTGCCCCCACCCTCCCCATCTGTAATTAGATCATAATGTTCGTGGGTATTAATTTATTTTTGTTTTTAATAGTTTTACTTTAATTATTTTATTTTATTTTAATATTTTTCTTTTTTAATTTTCTCTGATTGTAACCCACCAAGTATTACCTTGTGGTAAGACAGGTGGCTAATAATGTTTTTCTTTCTTGTAATCCCTTGATTCCGGGTGGAGTTAGGGGTGGAGTTGGGGTGACTTAAAATGAGCATTTACTGGCTAGATGCCCTTCTTGATGCCTACACGGAGTTTGCAGCAGATATTTTCTCTTTGCGCCCTGATAAAGAAACATCTGTCACTGACTCGGACTGAAGTCTCAACCTTCCCAATTGGAAGCAAGCATCTTCACCTCTAGGCCACCACATTGCTCCAATAAATTTTATAAATAAAAAATAAAATTTTGCAGGGGGTTGAATGGGCGTTTGAGGGAAAGAATGTGGACTGAGTGAAAACCTATTTAAATGAAATTTGAGTATACTGATTAGAAACTGAAGGTTTTATAATGCAGCTCAAGATCAAGGCTTGATCTGATTGGTGAAGAGTGATACAAGCGATTAAATGCTTAAGCAGGTCAGGATTTGGGGAACTATATATTAAAGACTTCCAGAAACATGAAAAACAAATTGAAGGAAAGAAGGAAACAAATATCTGAAAGGAATACCACTAAAATGGCTAAAGAAGGGGTATGAAATAGCTAAAGGATTGCATAATGCAGAGCTGGTCAGTGAAAATTAACCAATTTATCTAAAAAGGTTAAATCATGGCAAGTGGACCGAAGTTTATTAAAACTGAGACATTTTGTTTCTCATCCAAGTAACTTCTTCAGTCAAAATGAAAATTTTGGGTAGGCAGAGAGTCAGAACTGAACAAACTTTTGCCATACAGACTGCAGGAGGTTTCTCCCCAAAATGAATAAATCAGAATAGAGCTGGAAGGGACCTTGGAAGTCTTCTAGTCCAACCAAGAGACCGTACACCATTTTTTGCTCAAGCAAGAGACCGTACACCATTTCAGACAAGTGACTATCCAGTTTCTTCTTAAAAACTTCCAGTGATGAAGTACCCACAATTTCTGATGGCAATCTCACATTTTTCTAGCTTACCAAGAAGTTGTGATCTGCTTTGCCAAATACCTAACTGAAATCTAAGTATACTATGTCCACAGCGTTTTGCTGGTCTACTAACTTAGTCACTTTGTCAAAGAATGAAATAAGATTAGTTTGGCATGGTCTGTTTTTAACAAATCCATGCTGGCTTCTAGTTTAACTATTTGTTTTTAGATGTTTGCAGATCTGTTTTTTGATTATCTTTTCCAGTATCACTTTTTGCAACATGGAAAGATGTGCGAACAGGATGCCAACATACTGGGATATTTACTGGATATTATCTATTTCCAAGGATGACCAGTACACTTAGTATAAGCAGCTCATTCCAAAGGGATGGTCGTAGTGGCTTGATTTACACTGCCTAGTTGCCCTGTGACCTGAAAGGGGTTTCAACCACTTATAGAGAGCAGAAACAGAAAATGTCAGCCTTTATTTATCTCCCGCCAACTGCAAATATGACTTCCAGGCACATTTTCCTAGTGCAGTAGGAAAAGTAGTCTTTCTCCTCCTCCTCCTCCTTCTATCCATCCCAATTGTCAATTGTCCAATTAGCGAACCCAAAACAAGGAAACACTCTCTGGAGAATTGAATTCCCAAAAGTAAAGCTTTATTGGATACACCATGTTGATACTGAAGAAACGAAACCAGCTCTAGTTTCCCCTGCAAATGCTTGCCCTGTTAAACAATACTTTCTCCTTCTCCCCATCCCTGGGTGATCACATTGTCTAATTATGAGATGGTCTTTTGTTATGAGAATGGTCCATCTCTTTCTCCAGCACCTGCAGCGGTGACCTTGCTGGCTCCATGCTCTCACGATCTTTGCATACATTCTCCACATTCCATTTCCCTCCCCTCAGTTCCCTGGCAAATTGAAAAGCATTAGTTTTGAAAGATGCAAAATGGTTCAATCTTGACACGAATTTCCATAGGTACAAACCTGTATTATACAAGGCAAATCTCTAAGGTATTTTAACCATGATGGTAAAGGAAGGTTGATAAGTTATTATACTTCTTAGTTCTACTCAGTTCTACTTCTAGTTCTACTAGAACTAAGTAGGCTTCTCTCCTTGATTAGTTTCCAACCATTTCTTCTTGTCTTGCCTTCTGATGCTTTGGAAAATGGGTTGACTCCTCTTCTTTGTGGCAGCCCCTTAAATATTGGAACACTGCTATCTTGTCTCCCCTTGTACTTTTCACTAGATTAGATACTCAATTCCTGCAACCGTACTTCATATGTTTTAACCTCCAGCCGCCAAATCATCTTTGTTGCTCTTTTCTGCACTTTGTCCAGAGTCTCAATATATTTTTTTATATTGTGGTGGTGACTAAAACTAGATGCAGTATTCCAAGTGTGGTCAGAACAGAACAGAATAACAGAGTTGGAAGGTACCTTGTAGGTCATTCAGTCCAACCCCCTGCCGAAGCAGCAGACCCCAATCCATTTCTGACAGATGGCAGTCCAGTCTCTTCTTGAAAGCTTCCTGTGATGAAGCTCCCACAATTTCTGAAGGCAAGCTGTTCCGTTGGTTGATTGTTCTCACTGTCAGAAAATTTCTCCTTATTTCTAGGTTGAATCTCTCCTTGATCAGTTTCCATCCATTATTCCTTATCTGGCCTTCAGGTGCTTTGGAAAAGCAGCTCTAGTTTCCCCTGCAAACGCTTGCCCTGTTAAACAATACTTTCTCCTTCTCCCCACCCCGATTGATCACATTGTCCAATTATGAGACTGTCTTTTTTTATGAGAATGATCTCTTTCTCAAGCACCTGCAGCAGTGACCTTGCTGGTTCCATGCTTTGCATATATACGATCTCTGCATATATTCTCCACATTCCATTTCCTTCTCCTCAGTTCACTGGCAAAGTGAAGGAAGGCCTTCAAGAAGCTACAGTGGAACTCTTCCTTGGGGTTCTTAAGGCTTCCAGGTTCTTGTGGTCAGTACACACTTCAAACAGAAGCTTACTGCCTTCTAGGAATTGCCTCCAAGTCAGTAGCGCCAATCAAACAGCATACAGTTCCTTCTCCCACACCACCCAACGCCTTTCTGAGAAGTGTAGGTGCAGGGTTGCAGCATCCCCTTCACATTTTTTTGGAGCAAAACAGCCCCCACTGCCACATCAATGGCATCAGCTTGTATTATCTAATCTCTATCTCTATCTCTATCTCTATCTCTATCTGTAGAGATAGATATAATAAGATAGATAGATAGATAGATAGATAGATAGATAGATAGATAGATAGAGCCGGAGGGATGGCGTCGCAGTGGAGCTGCTAAGAAGGCAGTCGGACTTAAGTCCCTTTAAGGTACTTCGACACAGGGGGAGGGGGGACCATAAAGGGACAGGCCTTTTCTGCCGGTTCTGTGGGCATGGCTTGGTGGGCGTGACTTGGTGGGTGACATGATCTTGCCATGAGTGATGTTGAGTTGGCCACACCCACTCAGTCACATGACCCACCCACCAAGCCACGCCCACCAAGCCACATCCACAGAACCGGTAGTAAAACAATTTGAATCCCACCACTGACACATATGTGTGTGTGTGACACACACACCACACACACACACACACACACACCGTGTTTCCCCGAAAATAGGACATGTCCGAAAATAAGACCATAAATATACACCCTCCCCTGAAAATAAGCCCTAGTGAAGGGGTGGGCATGGCCAGCACAGGAGGCAGCCCTTCCCTTCCCCGTCAGCTAATGGCAGCTGGGCCCCTTAATTGTGACATGCAGATCAGCTTAGCTGATTGGGAGCTGCCTCTCATTCTCTTTCCACCCAGCGTTCTTGGTGCTCGCCTGCCTCCCATCCATTCATCCATCCACCCCCTCACCTGTAAATTCCTGCCCCGCTCGCAACAGAGCAGCCACCCAGCTTTTCTTGCCATGTTGTGCCCATCCAGCATTGAGGATGGCTTCCCCTGCGACTTCCAAACCCCATCTGGAAGCCGCTGGAAATGGAGAAGATGCCGGTTAGGCCAGCCGCCTGCTGCCAAGTCTTCTGGAAGCCAGGGCAGAGAGTTTTCCAGCAGCCAGGGCAGAGAGGCAGTGAAGGGAGCTGCAGCCT